TCTCTCCCTCTCCCTTACTAGAAAATACCGGAATTCCTCATCTCCTTACAGACCATCACAATTGCCACGCGAGCTAGGAGCCATGACTTCCTCCTTTACATGACGCTGATAAGGACAAATGCAATGCTGTGACGATGGATACCTGTAAAGTAGTTGGCGCATGCCTCACCTCCTTGAGGTGGAAAGTATTATTTTTCCATATTAGGGATACAGCAATGCTATATGACAGAAACAAATCATGTGCTTAGCTATTTGTATTATTTTACTAAAGGTTTCCTTTGTTCTCATATTGTAATCCATGTGGGTTTTTTTTTTGTTTTTTTTTTTTTGGTGCAAATGAGTCAACAGATATAACTAAAAACCATATATATATGTATATAGAGAAAAATAATTAAGTTTTCCTTCTAAAATTTCTCTTTAGCATTATATAATTTGCACTTAAAATGTTATATATTATGTAAGAGGGAATTTGAGACAACTTACTTAAACATTTTTAACCTTTAAACAATTTTTAGGATTCTCTCTTACTTCTCTGAGTACTTAGCATATCTTTGAACTTTGGAAAGGCCTGGCTTTTGTGGAGGGAATGTAGTTAACCCAGGTGTCAGCCCCTGCCTGTCCTCTGCTTTCAGAGTCCCCCTTCTCTTTAATGTTTTAATAGAGCGGCGAGAGGAGAGGGCACTGCTTCTCAAGATTACCAGGCGAGACGGCGCCACGTTCCCAGTGCCGGGTTGCTGCCTTTGAACCAGATATCTGCCTCACTTTGCAGCCTGACCCTGAGACTGTGATTCTCTTTTGGCACTGGATCCTGAGCGTTTAGGAGAGAGACTCCTACTGCTGGCTTAGGAAATACAGATGGTTGAAGTATCTTAAAGATTTCACATGTTCATCAATCATTCAGCAGACATACAGACATCGTGTGTTTACTGATACTGTCTTAGGCGCTTGAGACTGGAAAGAAAACAGACAGAAATCTCCTTGGTTTGGGGAGCTACTCCGAAAAACACTAAGTTCACACGAGCTCGTGATACATGTAAAGTCACAACTGAGGAAAGTGTAATGAAGCAAGGGTCTCCGAAGGATCAAGCCCTGGGGCACTGAGCTTGAACTAAAGGGATTGACCTAATCAACATGGAAGACCAGAAGAAGAGCTTAGGAAAACAACTGGCAACGTATACAAACAAACAACAAGGAGGGAACAAGGATTCTGAAGCAATTGCGAGTGAACCTGTGAACTAGAGATCCATGAAGCTACGGAAATAAGACAACTGGGAATCACAGGGAACTACTATCACAAACACACAGCGCACGTCAGGATCCCTTAATGGGGGGATGGTGAGCAATTGGAAAGTCCAGCGTCTCTTCTTTGATTCCAGGCAATCTTCTACCTGTGACCACTTTAAAATACAAACAAAATTAAAGTCAGCTACATACTTTCAACATACTGGTTCAGAATATATATTATCATTCCAAAAGGAAAAAAAAAAAAGGGAGAATAGTGATAAAATACTGGACCAAATCAAAACTGGAACCCAGCAGGGAAAACTTCAAATCCTATAGTTCTGTGTCAGACATCAAAAGGTTTATGCGGTTCCCTGCTTGCAGCGTCACCAAATACAACAGTTCTCAGTCTTGGGCCGGTCCCAAGCCCCGTCTTTCGGTCTTTTGCCAGGTATCCCAGGTCTCTGGCCTCTCCGACACTTTGAGGTCTCCAGCACAATCCAGGCCTCATCTTCACAGTTTCACACAGTGGCCTCCCGGAGCCTCTATGCAGGGAACTCCCCTTCACACACTGCAGCTTTCCTTCACCAGAGGGGGAGATTCCACAACCCTTTACCACCGTATCCTTCAAGATGTGACTCGACAGCTGGAACTACAAGGCCGATGCTGCCAACTTCTACTGCCTGTTTGGAGTAGAATCGGGTCCTCCCCTTGAAGTACATTTGCATAAGCTTTGATTGGTTGCTTTCCTAAACTGAGTCTTTAGACTTTTCCTCTTTTCAAGCTGGAAGATGAGCTGGGTGAGGTCTTGCCCTCAGGGCTCTACTCCCTTTATTCCATTCCCCATCAGACCTTTCTTTAAACTTTCAATTCTTTGAGCACAAGACATGGCTCCAGTGTGAAATTTGCTCTTTTTCTCTTCAAACTGTTCAAGGACATTTGCTCAACCATGTTCACAGCAGCTCTATTTGTAATAGCCAGAAGCTGGAAACAACCTAGATGGCCCTCAGTTGAGGAATGGATACAGAAATTGTTGTGCATTCATACACTGGAATACTACGCAGCTATTAAACACAAGGAAATCGTGAAATTTGCAGGCAAATGGTGGGAACTAGAAAAGATCATCTGGAGTGAGGTATCTGAGAAACAGAAAGACACACATGGTATAAACTCACTCATTAGTGGCTATTAGCCATATAATATAGGATAAACATACTAAACTCTATACTCCTAAAGAAGCTAAACAACAAGGAAGACCCTAGGGAAGATGCTCAGTCCTCCTTCAGAAAGACAGACGCAATAGACATTAGAAGCAGGAGAAGACAGGGAACAAGACAGGAGCTTACCACAGCCAGTCTCTGAAAGACTCTACTGATCGAGGTATCGAAGCAGAGGCTGAGACTAATGGCCAAACTTTGGGGAGAGTGCAGGGAATCTTATGAAAGAAGGGGGAGATGGAAAGACCTGGAGGGGACAGGAGCTCCACAAGGAGACCAACAGAGCAAACAAAACAAAACAAAACAAAACAACCCCAAAAACCCTGAGCCCTGGGGGCCCTGCAAAAACTGATACCCCAACCAAGGACAATGCATGGAGAGAACCTAAAATCCTGGCTCAGATGTAGCCCATAGACTCAGTATCCTAGTAAGGGGAGCAGAGGCTTCCTCTGGCATGAACTCAGTGACAGGCTCTCTGATCACCTTCCCTTGGGGGGTGCAGCCTTATCAGGCCACAGAGGAAGACAATGCAGCCAGTCCTGATGAGATCTGATAGGCTAGGGTTAAATAGAAGGGGAGGAAGACCTCCCCTCTCAGTGGACTAGGGGAGAGGCACAGAGGGAGAAGAGGGAAAGAGGGTGGGGTTGGGTGAGGAGGGGGCCACAGCTGGGATACAAATTGAATAAATTATAATAAGTGATAATAAAAATTTTTAATAAAAAATTAAATATTTATTTTTTGCACCGGTTGCTCTTTTTCATTGTAGATCTGTGTAAGAATGGTTACTAATAACTAAGCAACAGATGTTGCTTAGTTAGGTGTCTTGAAATCTTCTCTGCCAACAAAATTAGTCCAGAACTTATGAACTGAGCCCCAGACATATTCTCATGACAGGGAAAAAGCAGTCATGCTCTCTGCCATAGTGTCACGAGAATGGTCTCTGCTCAGTGGCTAATTTTGTTATCCCCGAAACCTCTTGAGCTGGGTCGCACTGCTGTCAGCTGTCTTTTAATGCAGCCTTGCGCTCAGTTTGTGGAGAGGGCAACCTATGATCTTGACAACAGTCTGGGTTGTTTGGGATTGTCCACGGGACCTCTTTAGCCAATACGTTTCATCAAATGAAGGAAACCCAGTCCTGGTCCTGGAAGCTTTGTTTGGGCCAGTTGGGACTCCATGTCCATCATTATTTGCAGACTTTATTAGAATCGACTTCACATATTTTAGTTTCCATATCAGCCCTCAAATGGCCCTCAAGTCTAGCTGTCTCCTCATTTCCTTCCTCGGCCTATTTTCCCTTCTCCCTCCCCACCTGATCCTCCTGTTTTAATCCACTAACTGCCTGCAGTTCACCCATGGAATCTATTCTATGCCCCCCTCCCAGGGAGATCCACGTCCCCCCACCCCGTCCCTTCCCCTATACATAACCTCTCTGGTGCTGTGGATTGCAGCTTCATTTATGTAACAACTTGCGTCACAACACTAGACGGAGAAAGAGCTAACCGGGACGGGCATGCATGGGTTTTTGAAGCCTTAAAGCCCACCTCCAGTGACATAGCTCTGCCGACTAGGGCACAGCTCCTGATCTATTTTGAACAACTGGTAGACCCAGTTGGGGTCCACCAACTGGGGACCAAGTGTTCGACCAAATAAGCCCCCGGGGCTGTTCTCATTCAAACCACCACCCAGAGCAACAAATTCCAAAGAAGAGGATTGAGTCCAGAGGAGAGATGATGGTGGTTCACAGGGAAGTGGGCACTGTGGTGAAGGGAGGCAGAGATCTAAAGAGCATCACTGTAGGCTAGAATGTCACCTGTGGTTCTGCAGGGGACAGTGGAAATTAAGAGTGCAGAACGCGCTAGAATGACATAGGCAACAAGCATGAGAAAAGTAATGTGAAGTACTCCAAATGATACATTAGTCTGACTGCCTTTTAGGATATTGAAATTTCTCCAGAGTTTTGCTCCTTTGCCCCTTCTCTAAGCCTCTTTCTTTACAACTCTCTTTTCTCACTCAACCCCCCCCTTCCACCGTTTCATTTCTTTACATATTTTTCCCTATGCACTCTTCTGTCATGGTAGCCGAAACAGTAGAATTATTAGGGGTGTAATTTGGCTCTAAGTCTGCCTTAATTGGGGGCCAGCTTCAGAATAGCAGCAAATCTGCAAGCTTTTGCTAACGTACCACAGTGATACACTGACTTATGGTCACTTCCCCATGGAAGGCATTGATGTTCCACCCTTTGTGTGCTCACATCTCATGTGCTGTGTATCTGCTGTAGAGTTTGCTTCTGCCACAAGACGATTACCTTTTTTTTTTTTTTATTTTCGAGTTTTCATTCTACATGTCATATCTTACCCTCAAAAAATTTAAGTTTTGGTAGTCCAAACTGACTTTGACAAACTAAAAGCTCATGTGCCAGTAATATAGTCAGAGCAAGCACTTTCAGATAGTAGAGCAGTATCAAGATGCTTAATAATAAATTACGACTTAAATGAATCTTAGTGAAGCACAGTTCCTAAATCTAATGCTGGATGTGTTTTTTTGTGTGTTTCTTTTTCGAAGGGAGCATCATTCTGTATTAGATCTTCCCATGATTCCATATCCAGATTTCTTCACCAAGGCGGAGAAGAGATTGGGAGAAGTCATTGATCGTCTTGTAAGATTTTCTTTCTTTTTAATTAAAAAATGAAATATATTTACATTACTTTCCCTCTTCCTCACCTCCCTCCAATCTTTTCCATATTCTCCTTTAAATTCATAGTCGGTATTTATTTAATCGTTGACATATGTGGATACGTACATACATACATACAAATATATTTTTAAGTATATAAATACAACCTGCTCAGTTTGTATAATATTAAGTGTATGAACATGATCTCAGGACTAAACATTTGGTATTAGATACACAATTTTGGGTCTCTTCCCTGGGGAAGACTATTTGTCCCAATCTTAGCCTTTGTTAATAACCCGAAGTTTTTTGTTTTATTTGTTTAGAGTTGAAGCCCCTCGGTATTTCTCCCTTTCATGTCAGCATGTCTAGCGGTGTCATTCTGGTTTAGATCTTGTTTAGGCAGCCATGTTGATGAGACTTCATGGGTGTGATGTTCAAGAGACAATTCATGATCGTCCATTGCAAGCCTGACTATGAAGCAGCGTGGTGCTTACACAGTGGGATGCCCCGCCTTATGTCTTAACCGAGGCAGGGTAATTTGTGAAAGACTAAGTCCTGTTTCCTGCATTAGTTCCAGTGCCTCACAACACAGCCTGGTATCAGGTCGTGGACACCAGGTGCTTCTACAGTGTAGAACAAAAATCTTTTTTGGGGGGAGGGGTTGTCTTTTCAAGACAGGGTTTCTCTGTGGTAACCTTGGCTGTCCTGGACTTGCTTTGTAGACCAGGCTGGCCTAGAACTCACAGAGATCCACCTGCCTCTGTCTCCCTGAGTGCTGTGATTACAGGTGTGTGCCATGGCACCCGGCTTAGCACAAAAATTTTTTTGCTCTCTTTTCACTGATCATTCCTTACCTTAACAGTTAAGGAGGACCTTTATCCACTTTGTACATAGTAGACAAAGAGTTAAACAAGCCACGGTGATAGAAAAAGATTCACATAAAACACTTTAATCCATTTTGCTTTATTGTGCTGCAACTTTCTTGCCTAACATGAATCATTTTATTTCTACATTTCTAAAGCAACAGGGCTGAAGCAGAACAGATGTTATTTTCTATATTCTTATCAACTACCACACGGAATCTATAGAATACAATATACATTTAAATTATTTTTGTTACTTTATTGCCAGTAGGTCAATATGTTCTATCAGATTTTAGTTATGTTCTAGATTATATTTCATTCTACTTAACTACTGATTTCTTTAAAAATAAGACATTATTTCAATTACTAATCACATTGAATAGTTATTTATCACATAGCACTTAACTATCACATAGCACATAGTTATTTATAAATAACTATAAATAAATAGTTATTTATCACATAGCATGTGATAAGTAGTTATTTATCACATGCACTCTGATAATAGCTATATACGTTAGGTTTTAGGAACGGATTGATTTTTGTGATGCAAAGTTATTAGAGGCATACTAGTGTTCTTCTGTAGACTAACAATGATTTTGCTGTTCAAGTAATGTATATTAGTCTTCTCATAACCTTCTGCTAATTCCTAAATTTCAACATCTGTATTTTTAATCACTTCAACAAAATGATATGAGATGCATTACATAATGTAACAGCTTGCCAACATTATACATAGATAATGTGCTTATATAAATAACTATATAGATTTTATTATATAATGTACACACACATATATGTATACAAAAGTTAAATGACTTTGGGGTCTTTAAGGCTAACAAGACAGAAGAAGATAATAGTTTGAATGAAAGAAAAGTCTGGGAGATGGCTTCTATGAGTCATCACCTTTTGCTTTTTCCAAAGCTATAAGCATTATCTAAGAAATCACTGCTGTGGGCCTGCTTGTCTTATAGTGGAATAAGTATGAAATAGCCCTCTCTGGAAAAAGGTTGGAAAGAGTATTAAATCCAAATTGTTTGATGTACCACCTACTACTGCTGATGTACTGCTAATAGTGTGTAGTTTTAAATTTGGGAAAGGCTTTGGAAGAGTCTTTGGGTATAATATTAAAGCTTTCTTACACATACTATCATAGGTATCTGTCCTTACACTTCACACTTTGAAAATATCTCTGACATTAGTTAATTCAATCATCGCAGCAGCCCGGAACGTTGAAGTATGGATTGCAATTCAGTTACTCTCTGGAACTTGTTTATTTGTTTGTGAATACTCTAACAGAGTGTACAACTGCATGCCAGAAGAAGGTATCAGACCCCAGTAGAGATGGTTGTGAACCACCATGTGGTTGCTGGGAATTGAACTCAGGACATCTAGAAGATCAGACAGTGCTCTTAACCACTGAGCCATCTCTCCAGCCCACTTTTAAAGGGAGCAGAACACTGAGTCTATGCACACAACGAAATCTCCAGATCTCGTTGCTTTACCTTCCCTCTCATGGACTCACAGCTGATTTTACTGCTTAGGTTAGAGTCATTAAGCAGAACTGTAAGCATGGAGGACCTGCAATGTTGAGAAGAAATAGAAACATACACTGTAGCTACAGGCACAGCATTCCCCTCATGTCCAACTTATTTTGCTGAGCAGCTGTAACACGCAAGGAACAGGGGGTTAGCTTTTTACTCAGAATGAGTCCAGTTGCTTTGTGCATTGCCAGTAATCCGTAGCATGATGACTATACTGAATGAATAGGATGAGTCAAGTAGCAAGTCGTGTTTCCATTTCCCATCAGCTTCTAGGAAGCACAATGATAATAATAACGGCAGGCAAGAACCAAAACAATATACTGCATCAATCCAGTTGAAATAGTCATGGGCAGCTAAAACAAACTGGCATTATATTTATGGTTGGGAGGCTAATGAAAAGGACTTTGATATTATGGATTGTTACCATGCCAAGTCTGAAGAATGGAAAAAGGGACCAAAAACTGTTTTCTGGACCATAATAATATGATAATCTATTAACTGCTTTCATGTATGTTGATATGTTTACACATACTATTTGGGAGGATTTTTTCTTTTAAAATCTTATTTTAGTGGCAAGTGTTAAAGAGTTAATCATCACATATGGGTAATAAGAAAAGGGAGCTCTTTCGGGAGGGAAAAGGGATAAATACAAAAGAAGGTGGGAGGAAGATAAAGGAGAATAACAAGATATGAGGAATTGGATGAAGAAATGACAAAGGGGGAGACTGGTTAGAGAAGGGGGAGGAGAGGGAAGGAGGTCAATAATAAAAAAAGGATGTTTGAAAAAGTTACAAGAAATCATACTATTAACCATTTCCTTAAAAACACCCCAAACACTACACACAATTCTGCACATAAATATACATATACAATTTTAATGAACTTTTCTCATCTAGGCTGACAGTGCTCCCTCCAAGATCCAAAGACCATCTAACAAAATCCCAATACCAGCCATCAGTAGCCCCCTTTGTTAGATAGGGCTGTCCAAAAGATTCCCCAAACATACAGCCTACTGCTGTTACCTTGGTTCCTCATGAGAAGGGGAAGATAAGTGATGAAGACAGCATGCACTTCAGAAACAGTCATACTATGACCTGGAACTGATCTGAATTCCTCCTCCCCGAGGACGAGCCTTCATGGTATCAGAAGACATCATGCAAGCTTCTAGAGGGAGGCAACCAAGATTCCTACGTTAACAATGCAGTAGTGACATGCCTACCTTGGCAGTAACCAACAGATCTTTAACTGGACTTAAGACTTGCTTAATAAGAGAAACAAGATCTTGTACTGGAAACCTACCTAACTACTCAGCACTAGTGAAGCCGTGGTTATCAAAGGAGAATCCACAACTTGTAATTTACTAAACCAGCATGATCCCTAACAAACATCTGTAAACTTTTGTCCTTATTCCCACAGATAAGGATAGTACTCGCCCCTTACCAAGAAAACTCTTTGCAACTCAGACCACCACAGAAAACCATAGCCAATCAAAATGCAGACTTATGGAACCATGTCCCAATGGATACATCTACAAAAACAAACAAACAAACAAACAAACAAACAAACAAACAAAAAGCCTCTTGTTCCTATGGCTTAGGGAATAGTTTGAAATCAGGGCCAGGAATGCAAAAACCAGAGGACCAGGGAGTTTGCTGTGAGACTGCATCTTCTGGTAACATGAGAACCCATAAAGTCTGACCAACATGACTGTCCAGATGTGAGCTGAGCAAAGATGACACCAACAGACATGGGAAACTGGATGGGAAAAACCCACAAGGCTTCAACTCTACACAAAGAATTATAGACAGCCAAGGAAAGTTGGGAAATGAAGAGGTGCACCAATTGGTTGTCCAGTGCCAAACGGTCAGCCTTGAAAATACACATGCAAGTTACATCATTTGGACTGAACAGGTTATAGTTAGGAATAAATATCTATCTATACATCTTGATAGATACACGTACACTTATAAATATACGCGTGCAATGACAATTAGTAAAAAAGAGGTCATAAGTTTACAAGAAAGTGGGGAGGGGTAAATGGGAAGGTTTAGAAGGATGAAAGGGAAAGAAGAAATGTTACATATATTATAATTTTAAAAACAAGATTTCTTATAAACTGCTTTAAATGAAATTAAAAAAGAAAGTTAATCATCACTTTCGAAATTACAGTAGCATCCTGTACTTTGGCCCCAACTTTGTTTCACCATTTCTGGTTATGGAGCTCACCTACACTTCCACACCAAGTCCAAGTTCTGCTAGTATGACAGGAAGTCATCTGGGAATCAAGCCTCATTCCAATTCTCAGCCCAGCCCTCTAGGCTCTTCATTACTTATATATTACTCAAGGTCAACCTTCAAAGTCCACTCAAGTCCCTCATTGTTCATGCCTCTCTCTTTCTCTTTATTTACCATTCTCAAAGAACATAGGCTTATCCAGTTTATAATATCTTCGATCCAGTCTTCTGAGAGATACCGTTTTTATATTGAATACATAACCTTACCATTGTCTTTTCATTGCACTTTTAATGAAGATTCCAACACATCCTTTTCTTTGCTTCTAGCATTCCTTCCTCTT